CTGGCTCGGCTACTCTCTCTATGCCTATGCAGCTGCTAAGTTCGTCGATGTGTCATTCGTGGCCAACGCGGACAAATCTCAACCGCTGCGCTACATCAACGAGCCTTTCGAGGATGTCTCGTATTTCTCCTACAGGTGTGACTTTGGCCCTGAGGGTGTGTCCAGGATACATCCACTTGAGGGGCTCACTCCGTATGAGAAGGGCCGCCTTGAGGAGGTGAAGAGGAAGTTGAAGGGTGACATTCAGAATGGTATAACTTTGCCAACAACTGATGTTTATAACTATCATGTCATTCTTGGTCACATCACGCTATCGTGCCACGAAGTGGATGCTTTCCCTATACTCGAAATGTTGTGTCGGAATGACTAGTTGATAAATTGATCTTGTCCGTGATTGTGAAAACAAGGACTCATGTTACTACTCATAAGCACATGTAAGCCTAGGACGGCATCGTTAATAGTTACGAGCATTTCATCCACAGCGAAAGATGGTTTATCCGGAGAAATAGGTGTGAGAGATTGATAGATCATCACGAACCTATGCTCGATCTCAAAATGATTATGTTGTGATCATCACGATTGATACCATAACTGTGTGAATGTTGCTGACTTTGAAACTAATGAATGTATGTCATGATAATGAAAGTTAGAAGATAGGATTCATGTGAGTCTCTCATCTCGTGAACTTGCATGCTAAAACATGGAGACGCGTGAAAACTTGATTAAAAAGCTCAGAATGAAAATGAGAATTGTAATAATTATCTAGTTCTAGTAATGTTCATTCATCTCAAGCTGCGAATAATGATACAATTCCCAGCTTGAGTATCGTCGACTTTGCTATATTTGACAGAACCACCTGATGCACTATTGTGTTTCGGGTTTCGAGGCGTCTTAGATATTTGCTCGAAGTTAATGGTTAGAGCATAGACATATCGTCATATCATCAGTTTTACACGCTGCTAGATCTAGCGACTAATTTCACGACTGTATTTAACTGCTTTCATCTGGGGTTAGTTCACTAACCACTTGAACACAACACCAACCCGACGATGACACCCATTCGCTTCCATGCATCGGCATGTTTATCTCATTAAACAGCGCCTCTACTCAACTCGGCTTGGAGCTGACTCAACTCAGCCTCGGCCTTCGAAAGGGCTCTCTCGGCAGCAGGCGGGAGGACGACCTTGTGACTGAAGAAGGAACATTCAGAAATGCTAATAAGATCGGCCATCTCCTTACCGGCGGGCTCTGCCAAGCTCTAGGAAGGAGCTGGGATGACCAGCGACCAGAGATTCTTCTTCTTCTTTAATACTCTCCTCCTGAGAAAAAAAACTCGATGTACCCAACAAAGAATTGAACCCGAGACTTGATCACCGCATACCATTAGACTAGTTAGCCTTGGAATGGAGATGAAGCCAGCGTCTCACCTCAGCCTTAGTCTTAGCATTCTCCTTCTCCAACGTCGTCTTCAGGTCACTCAGCAATTGCATGACATGATCGTCTTTCGTGGCGCCCATCTCCAGAAAGGATATACCAGCATTAGCATTGTTCACAATGGTGTCCTAAGAAAAAAACAACTAAAACGTCAACAACAAAAACTTCGCTCCGCCTACTCTCTTCAGAGTTTCCAATCAGCATGAAGTTTGTCCTTCATTTACGCAGCTGATCTTCCGTCTCCTTTTC